CAAGGTTGTGGACCCTATAGAGGTCACAATTTTTATCTGATTTTGTTGAAACTTGAAATGAAAGTTTATAACCCAAAGATCTTGGTTCCTTTCGATATTTGCGCATATCGAATTGTAATTTCCTGATTTATGGCCTTTGATTGTAGGAAAAATCACTTTCGTTTTAGCTTGTTCTCTATCCATCTCTCGAAAATGTGGCCGTTTCCTGCCTGGCAGCCGCTGGTTTTTTATTCCTTTAAGATTCTATTTATGAATTTTAGGCATGTGAGAACTCTAGTCCACCAACAATCAAATCACTGCATTTGCTGGGTCAACCATATGACCGGTTTTTATTACAAACATTAAGAAATGATACAAATGATTCAGCATCTGTAAGTAATAACTTTTATTATATTTTCTGAGCTCAAACAAGAATGAATCTATAATGTATATTTTTATTTAATGCAATTCTTTCTGATTGAGTTCATATTTCACATAATAGTATAACATTAATAACAATGATGTATTTGTAGAGCACCAGAAATCCAACACTGTGCTGCCTGTCGGCACTATTACATTTTGTATAAATGACACATACTATAGACATGCAAAGCATGGAAATAAGCCCAAACAGCGGACAGCGGTATGTCTCAAAAAAAAGAGACCCCAATGCTTCAAAAAGTTTTTGGAAAAGGGTCTGTGTAAACTAGGGAACTGAAGGTCGCTGAATGTTGAAATTATGAAATTCTCGCTTTAAGTCTGTAACAAAGAACAATCCTATTGAATTTCAGCAATTTCCGTTTATTACATCTAGAATTATGGCTCATTTCACTTTATTGAACCTTGTGAACGCTCTGACGCTGAAAGTTATCATCCGATCTTTGTGAAATTTAAATTAGTGAAACCACGCTGCCTATTGAATTTCAGCAATTTACAATAACGACTTCTAGAGTTATGGCCCTTGTTTCACTTTGTTCAACCTTGTTAATGCTTGATTGATGAAAGTTATCATCCGATATGTATGAAATTTATATGCATCATTTAAATTTGTGAAACAGAGTTCTATTGAATTTCAGAAATTTCTGTCAATAATTTCTAAAGTTATGGCCCTTGTTTTTCTTTGTGAACCTTGTGAATGTTTGAATGACAAAAGTAATCATACGATCTGTATGAAATTTATATGCATTATTTAAATTAGTAAAACGAAAAAGTCTGTCAAATTTCAACAATTTCTATAGAATACTTCCAGAGTTGAGGCCCTTGTTTCAGTTTGTAGAACCTTGTGAACCCTCAAACGACAAAAATTATAATTTAATCTGTATGAAACTACCTTGTAAAGGCCCCCAATTACCTACAAAGGAATAAATATGTGACAATCCTTTTCGACAGCGTGGACGATTTAGCTGCTGTGGGCGTATGTTTCATTGCCTAGCAATCTATCTTTTCACTTGTTGTAACTTGTGAATGTTCTAACGCCAAAAATTATCATCTGATCTTTGTGAAATTTATATGCTTTATCGTCCCCCGCCTTTCGAAGAAAGCAGGGGACTATTAAAATGGGTCTATCTGTCCGTCTGTCTGTCCGTCACACTTTGTGGGACACAATAACTCTCCTAATTGAGCTAGAGTGTTCAAACTTGGTGTAGGGATTTATTAGGTCAATGCCTTGATGGAGTTCGAAGATGAGCATTTTCTGCTTAGGGTAAGCAGAGATAAGCAATTTAATTGGTTGATGCTTTGAGACACGATATCTTTAGTTCTAAGTAAGTGAGAGTATTGAAACTTGGTGTATAGTTTCATTACATATATACCTTGACTAAGTTTGATATTGAGCATTTTCTGCTCAGGGTAAGCAGAGCGATAAGCAATTTGATTGGCCGAGACTTTGGAACAGAATAACTCTCCTTCTAATTGAGCTAGAATGTTCAAACTTTATGCCAATAAAACAGAAAGCAAGAATAGTAATAAATTTAACCAATTGATTTGCACAAAGGGGGATGCACTCCACCAAATTAAGTCACAGAGAAATACACCTAGAGTTGCACCCCCAACAAGTTCGTGGCACAGCACGAAAAAAAGTAAATTGAGTTTAGATATTTACATGTATCTCAAGATAAAAATCCAACAAATTAACATAGTAACAATAACTAATGAATGTGACTTAATTAAAATAACAATAGAATGATAATGGAATTATAACAATAAACTAGATATACTTAAACGTTAAGTAAACCAGGACTGCGGCCCTGCTTAATACCACAATTAAAGTTGTAAATCGGGGACTGCGGCCCCTACGATTTATTTATGAAGAGCTGGTAGACGCGGGACTGCGGCCCCTACAATCTACGTATGAAATTTCTGGTAAATCCGGGACTGCGGCCCCTACGATTTATTTATGAACTGCTGGTAGACCCGGGACAGTGGCCCCTACAATATACGTATGAAACTCTTGTAAATCTGGGACTGCGGCCCCTACGATTTACTTATGAAATGCTCTTAGACCCGGGACTGCGGCCCCTGTGATTAACGTGATGATTAATTAGGTAGTGAGCTGCGGCCCAATTACTTTACCAAAAAATTTAGTTACAACAAAGAAATGTGAGGCTGCGGACCACTGATGGGATTTTGCCCGTATATTCCGGACTTGTCCGAATCTTTTTTCCAAACGCCCAAAATTGTCCGACCGGGAATATGCCCAATCGGACATCACGACATGGTGATAATATTCAAAATTCCGAAATTAATATAGTGTACTGAGTGTATAACTACCACTCAACCCGATTATCGTCGATAATACGCTGGGTTTATTAGGTAATTAAGTGATCAATGTATTTATCGTGTTATACTGTCTATAGTATAAACCTACCTTGATTTAACTACTTAATCTGCCTTGATTGACTGACTTAATCCTTTGTCGGACAATTCATCAATCTAATCTTAAACAGAAGACATTTTGCTTTCCTTTTGTCGGACTATTCATTAATTCAATAAGAATGATTATAATTTTAATCCACCTGTTTACCTCGTTGTTTCTCATTTGTCGGGCATCTTAATCGCATTGATGTGAGCCGACATCATCTATAATAAACTAATCATAGATGTCACATATCGTAAGAGTAAATAACACCCTAAATCAATGGACAGTCATTTTGTCTACGATATCTTTTACGTCTTTTAAGAATCCATATAGAAATTCTCATCCACAGTGGCACTTTCCCTTGATCTCGAGCGCGGCACGAATATTGCTTAACATATTATTAGGCAGTGCTTACTATGAAGTCGTGTGATGAGTCACGTAGGCTATTAGTCTCTATTATCCAGAAAAATATTCTACGAATATGTTGAAGACTAGGAGTTTCTGGGTGACCGAGACTAGTACGCACCCATCAAAATAACAAAAAGGGGAGGGGCTACCAATAGCTATATGAGCAGAAATTCTAACGTATTTGTAGGCGTCAATCATTCTGCTGTGTTGCCTATGATGCCTGTCACTATGCCTGTTAACAAGTGATTTAACTATTTCGGAAGTTCTGCATTCATTTGCTGCCGTATAAACGAAGACACGTAATTCTAAAGGAATATTATGGTTGTGAATTTGATGCCGAAGCAGGATCGGCAAGCTTTCATTCAACATATCACGAAAATGCTTAATTTTGTAGGACATTTACTGACATAAATTTGAATGCCGTACGGGAATTAAGTGTGAAAAATAGCGAGGTCACCAATTTTTATTACGTACGGGATTTGAATATTTTGTTGACATGTGGTTTTTAATTGTGGTATGAATTGAATACTGTACGGGAATTAAATATGAAAAATAGCGAGGTTCACCTATTTTTATTATGTACGGGATTTGAATATTTTGACATGTGACTTTTAATTGTGGTACGAATTCGTCTGCTTAAATAACGATAAGAGTTATGCCCCTTTATTTTCAGTAAAATGTCCGACAAGTAAAATTTTGAAATCCCATCACTGCTGCGGACCTTATGAATATTAAAAGTGACAAATGAGCAATTGTTACACTAATAATTATGCGTCAAACAAACTAAGGTATTTTGACGGTGCTGTAAGCAAGGCCATTAAGAATTGATACAAAACCTATATACAGATATGTCCACCTATCCAATTAAGATGGGAGGAGGAGTAAGGGGATGGATGGTGGGAGTTTCAAACGCATTAATAATTTGGCTGTATTGCATGACCCACCGAGCAAACCAGATGAGACTTCGTTGTGAAGTGCGTATGTACAAATACTCCAATCAATGCGAATGATCCGATTTCTTTAATGTCATAAACTCAATTTGAACAAGTTACAAATAATAATTTATGCCAATAAAACAGAAAACAAGAATAGTAATAAATTTAACCAATTTATTTGCACAAAGAGGGATGCACTCCACCAAATTAAGTCACAGAGAAATACACCTCGAGTTGCACCCCCAACAAGTTCGTGGCACAGCACGAAAAAAAGTAAATTGAGTTTAGATATTTACATGTATCTCAAGATAAAAATCCAACAAATTAACATAGTAACAATAACTAATGAATGTGACTTGATTAAAATAACAATAGAATGATAATGGAATTATAACAAACTAGATATACTTAAACGTTAAGTAAACCAGGACTGCGGCCCCTAGATTTATTTATGAAGAGCTGGTAGACGCGGGACTGCCGCCCCTACAATCTACGTATGAAATTTCTGGTAAATCCGGGACTGCGGCCCCTACGATTTATTTATGAACTGCTGGTAGACACGGGACTGCGGCCCCTACAATCTACGAATGAAACTCTTGTAAATCCGGGACTGCGGCCCCTACGATTTACTTATGAAATGCTATTAGACCCGGGACTGCGGCCCCTGTGATTAACGTGATGATTAATTAGGTAGTGAGCTGCGGCCCAATTACTTTACCAAAAAATTTAGTTACAACAAAGAAATGTGAAGCTGCGGCCCCTATGAATATTAAAAGTGACAAATGAGCAATTGTTACACTAATAATTATGCGTCAAACAAACTAAGGTATTTTGACGGTGCTGTAAGCAAGGCCAAAAGAGATATGTACCCAAATAAGTAGGGCACATATCGGACTGCCAAAATAGTGAAAAGTAATAATGATAAACACAGTTACAAAGCTTCTCTACTCCTAGCATATTGTGTGTTCTTCAATTTTGCCTTACAAATGTGTATGGAACGGGTATAAGTTAAATATTTCCAATGCCCTAAACTCTGGATTAAGTGATCGGGGACACCTTGTCTTGCGGCTGAAGTGGCAGCTCCAATGCGAAAAGAGTGCCCGCTATACTGGGAACTGTCAATTCCAAAACGGATAAGCAACTGTTTAAGAAACTGTTTAAGATAACCAATAAACAATGATCTTGACAAAGGTTTTAAATCTGGAGTAACAAACAAGGCTTCCCCCGCTTGAAGTCGTTTCCTCAAAAGTAAATAATTAGCCATACATCTAACTGGTTTAAAGCGTACATTGTCAAAAATGTTAATATCCACGCCTTCTCTGAAATGATCGGTTCTAGAAGACTTCAAATGGATTTTCATAGAGGAATTATCTAATTCAAAACTAACATCATCTAGACACAAATGTCTACAATTATCAAAATTCCCACAAACGGTAAATTCTCCACAACTTAGAAATCCAAAAAATGCAAGAGTCGTAACTGCAGTGCAAGCATAAGCTGATCGATGTGAGGGGAGAAAAATCTGCTTCTTAGTAAACAACATAATTGATTCAAAATATCTGCGGTTACAAAAGACTACAAATTGAATTAAATTTGATTCAGATACATAAGGTAATAAGCGTACATCTGAACAATAATTATACATCATAAGAAAACGCTTAAAACATGTCAATCGTGATTTATAAGTCTGAATGGTAGACGGTGCTAACGCTTTATCCCAAAGAGCCTCTACTTCTAAGTTTAACACTGTATTACTGATAGGTATTCGGGAACTACACAAGGGTCCCAATCTGCTAGAGGTGCTAACCGTCGAAATTTCTGAAAATCAAAACGTGAACGGGAATCGGCTAACTCATTCTGACACCCCATCACATGTTTTGCCTTTAGAGTACAATTAAAACGCAAAGCACACAGGGTTAACTTTCTTGAAAATGTATTGATTAAAGAACATCTATAAGAGGCTCTACCCTTGCATATTATCTGTACAGTTGCTTCATTATCACAATGGAACACTACTTGCTTCGTACCCCAGTTGTGACCCCACCAAATAGTTGCTATTAAAATTGGATACATTTCCAACAAGGCTAAGGAGAATTCTTTTGAATTCAAAATTTCCGGGGGCCATTTACCACTAAACCATTTTCCCTTAAAAAAAAACCACCGAAACCTTTAGTGCTAGAAGCATCTGTGTACAACTCTATAACCGGGGCATAGGTAAACCATTGTTCCGAGAAAAAAGATGAACCATTCCAATCTCTAAGAAACCTAAGCCACATGTGAAGCTCTAGCCTACACGCCTCATTAATTTTCACAAAATGAGACAAATCTTTAACTTTGGTAGACAGTGTAATCAAATATGACACGAAAGATCGACCCAGTCTCACTACGCGAGCTGCAAAATTCAAATGACCCAACAGCGAAAGTAATTCTCTTTTCCGGACACTTTTCTTCAGAAGAAAACTTTGTATTATTTGTGTAATTTACACATAGAAGCCGAGCCTCCATACGCTGTGTATCTAATATAACACCTAAATATTCGAGACACATAGTAGGACCCAAAGTTTTATTTTCGGATAGTGGCACCCCCAGTTCCTTGAACAAAGATAATATAATAGCCATAGTTTCAACAGCATTAGTATTGGTTTGATCAATCGTTAAAAAATCGTCTAGTAAATGTAAAACAGACGCCACACCACATTTGTGTTGGGCAATCCAGCAGATAGAGGAAGAAAAAGTATCAAAAATTTTTGGACTAGAGCGAGAACCAAAAACCAGTCGGGTAAAAAAGTACAGTTCCTTTCCCCACTGCACACCATGTAAATGCCATAAGGACGGATGAATTGGAATTTGCTGAAAAGCATCTTTGATATCGAATTTGCATAACCAACTACCCGACCCAAACTTTTGAATTACTTTGATGGCATCAACAATTGAAACATATGACAATGAATATTCTTCTTTATCGATTAAACTATTTAAACTATCTTCACATGAATTGTGTGGAGCTAACAAATCCACGATCAACCGTTTCTTAAACGAGTACTTCACGACAGCCAAACCTAAAGGGTTAATCCGAAATACCTCAAAAGGTGACTTCTGAAAAGGACCAATAATATAATTATTATCCAGCTCTTTCTTAATAAGTAATGTGACAGATTCTTTATCATCCCTAGCGGACTTATTATTTTTACATATAACTGTAGAAACTGGCACTGATAATATACCGGTCTTAAAACCATAACGAAAACCCTCTATCAGCTGATCAACAAATTTAATATCTGGATGATCTGTTAAAAGCTCTTCTAATCTATTCACCTCAATAGGAGAGACAGGGGCTAATCCCTTTAATACCTTTAAAGGACAATATTGGTGCCAGTCATTATCACATATGTGTTAGAGCTGTTTAAACACATTCCAAATATACTTTTAACACAGAGATCATTGCTACGATAGCTGAGTAATACAGGTTTTCCGTATCGGAAGTGACGAACGCCAAAGGAAAACACGAGTCACCGCTCTATATAACTGACTGAAGCGACGAGTGATAACATATACACGGCTGAATTTCTGCTCACTAATAATTCCTTCGAAGACCAAAGTTTTTGTGTGAGACTGCGAGAGGATATCTGACAATTCATAAAAAGAATTGACTGCCACTAGATAAGAGAACACATAATAAAAACAGAAAAGGTCTGTGCATTACCATGTTTTTATAAGGTATAGAATGAATATAAACAAGGAAATGTACGGACTATTTCTATTTTTCTCGTGTTCTCTTATCTAATGACATTCAATTACTTTATTGAATTGTCAGATATCCTCTTACAGTCCCATATAACAACTTTTGGTCTTGGAAGGAATTATTAGTGAGTAGAAATTCGGCCGTGTATCTGTTATCACTTGTCTCTTCAGTCAGTTATATAGAGAGATAACTTGTGTTTTCCTTTGGCATTTGTCACTTCCGATACGGGAAACCTGTATTACTCAGCTATCGTAGCAATGATCTCTGTGTTAAAAATATATTTGGAATGTGTTTAACCAGCTCTAACACATATGTGATAATGACTGGCACCAATATTGTCCTTTAACTCTATATTATTATCTCCTATATTTTTGAGTCAAATTCTCTTACCCTCTTCCAGGTTAGATTTATCCCCTTTCCTACACTTAACCAAAGGGTGTGACCCTCTACAAGATTCACAAATATGAGCAAAAGTACAATTTCCCCGTCCACAGCCATTAGCTGTGTTAAAATTATTACAAATGGGTGTCCCATTATTAAAACTAATTTTGCGCCCCCGAATATCTGTGTCCATTTTCCGTTTGCTATTTAAAAAACTAGTGGAAGGATTATTTCTCCCTGCTGTAACAGATACATACAACGGAATATCCAGTTTCCCCCAGTCAACTTTAATGCCCTGAGCTAACAAGTTACAGGCCTTAGAAAAAAAGTCTTGATGGTATTCATAGAAAACTAAACCCCCAAAGGTTGAGGCCAAGTTCGTTATATGCCCCAAATATGCCTTCATTTCGCTATTTCTACTAAGAAATGCTTTGCAAATAACATCACGGAAAATATCAAAAGCCTTATAATATTCAACAATACTTTAAGGTTTGTTCAGTTTAGAACTCTGGGGGCTCTTGATTCTAATCTCCACGTCAATTATATGTCTGAACTCTTCAGATTCAATATGGGGAGGTACAAGCAACACAGCAAAGTTCACAAACTTCCCTTCAAGAATCTTTTGTTGCAGTTTAAATGCAATATTCGCCACGTACGGTGCGTCATGAGAGCTAATCCCATTGCCCTGAACAAAAACACGGACAGTATCATTGTTAAAGGTAGGGTCCATGTGGCCTAAGGAGGTATCATTACAAGATAGGCTAGGCCTACCACTATCCTGGGTACGTCGACTCTGTGACAACTGTTCCACATTCCTCGATAAAAGTCGTAATTGTTCTTGAATTCTCGAAAGATCAAGTTGATGGGCGCCGCCATCTTGAATCAGCTGACCTTCACTTCCGCTATTACGGCCTCGTTCTCGTGCTACAAATGTCGTCTGCTCTAAATCTAATTCGCCCTCGCTGACATCTTCGGTCGTTCGAAGGCTATTCAAAACCATTCCCCGCAACGGAATTACTCCTTGCCGAAAAACTTCTCATCGTCAAAGAGTCATTGCGAACCGAATCATCCCGCACTTTCGATATAGACTGCCAATTAGCTTTAATTATCTTCAAAATGTCCTTTCGTGAAACACCACTGTTAGCGTTGTGTATAGTGGTACCATTACTAGCGTCATTAGAGGGCCCACTACATGTGGTTGTACTTCTCTCGCCAATTGCAAGGCCGGTGGAGATATCTCGTCTTTCGCTAGGTCAACTGCTGCTTCTCCTTCTCAACACCTGAGGCATGGATGAAGAACAACTATTCCAACTTCTGCATCTCTTCATGATGAATAGGAAGCAGGTGCCTAGTAAAAGGCACCAAAATAACGAAGATAAAAGTTTCAAACGCATTAAACATACCTTATGCAAGAGTTAAATCTGATTATTGCAAGTCTTAATTTAGGCTTCAGATGTTATAGAAATTATAAATTAGATCTTTATTTAAACAACAAGCCCAAAATCAACTCTGTAGACCCACGGATGGCTCGGCTACAGCTTGGATTTAAATAGGATTTCACTGATTGATTAAATCAAATATGGCGCCCCATGCGGAGATTATTAACCGTTACATTGAAGTCATCAGTTCGATCGAGGCTAAATGATAGAGTGTACGAAGCGAGGCCGCTGTTGAGCGATGCCGCATGTCAGTCAATTTGATTGAAAGTTCGATATATAGGGTCTTGATATTATGTTCAGATGTGGTTAAAATGGGAGTTTGGATATTGGTATTATACGCTCTTTTGTCACTTGCGTTTACAGAAAAATTGATAAACATCGCAGCTAACATCACCCCAGTTGAATTGCAGCCCCATTGGATCACTGTAGTGTTTCCTATTTATTTGTCTGCTACAGGAGTCACGTAGTCACCTTACAGTACAAGAGTACACGCAGGCTAACAAGAAGTTGGCTATAATTATGCCTCATTGATTTGGTCCATTCCTTTCAACTTTCGCTTCTTATCTATATAATAAAAGTCTTATTTTTAATTTGTAGTAAAAATAAATGTGATACGAATTGAACTGCAACCCCGTCTCAAGCCATTGAAAACGTTACTTGATAATCAAGATTATGTAGGTGGAGTTAACGCCTGTCAATCAAACGATCGGCCAAGGTGAAGATATATTTGACTACCATTTCTTGTCAAATATTACAATGATGATAACTTTGTTCAGAATAAAGTAATTTGACTGAAATTTTCAATATATTCTTCTTTCATCGTCTACTTTTGAACTGTTATAGCAAGAATGGCCAACTCTCTATAAAAATCTCCCATAATGTATCTTTAATAATTTGGCTGTATTGCATGACCCACCGAGCTAACCAGACGAGACTTCATTGTGAAGTGCACATGTACAAATCATGTACAAATACTCCAAC